CATAAAATGGTTAAACCAATTTTTGTGGGAAAACTTTTTATTTGACAAAGAATGACAAAACGTGTTTTTTGGGATTCAATCAAAAGTGTTGACAGAAACGAAAAAACTTTTTATGCAAGATTTTAAGGTATTTATGGGACCTACAGAATGAGACCACACGTGAAAAGATCCGACTAATGGCAAAAATGTTATGGCCGAAAAACTAGGCAAAGTGCAGGTTTTGGCACTTGTTGGTAATGCGACGATATTTTTACGCAACTACTTGAAATTGTTCAAAGGATTTATACTTCTGAATAACAACAGTAAAATTGGAGTATAATAGTCTAGTAGTTTTTTTAGAATTTCTAATTGCTTATCCCAAACCACCTGTTTTCCGGACATCACTTCTAGTTTATTGAGCTATATACAGGATTAGTTCAAAGCGTATTTTACAACAAAATACACTAATTTAGCTTGCCGATATGAATTACAAACCATTCCGAAAGATAAATGTTATTTTTATGCGAAAAACAAAGGTTACGTTTCTTTCTTCAAAGCAAATTGAACATTTCGTATTTGTGAGTAATTGAGCAAATGCGCTACGATATTCGAAATACATACGTTACTATACACATTTTAAAACAAAGCGGATGTGTCTATTATCTTTTGTTGCGAGTTACTCACAAATACGAAATGTTTCAATTTGTTTAGAAGAAAAACGTAACCCATCCTTTTTTGCATAAAAATAACATTTATCTTCCGGAATAGTTTTCGATTCATATCGGCAAGGTAAACTAGTGCATTTTGCTATAAAACGCCCTTTGAACTAATCCATGTATATTGCTCAAAAAATTAGTAGTGACAGTCGGAAAACAGATGTCTTGGGATAAACAATTAGAAATTCTCACAAACTACTTGACCAATCAACTTTAATTCTGTTGCGGTTATTTAGAAGTACCAATCCTACGAATTTGAAGAATTTCAAATATCTGCGAGAAACCGTCGTCCCATTACCAACACGTGCGAAGACCTGCAGTTTGCCTCGGTTTTCGGCGATAACTTTTTTGCTATTAGTCGGATCTGTTTACGTGTGGTCTCATTTTGTAGGTCTCATAAATACTTAAAAATCTTATGAGAAGAGTTTTTTTGTCCCTGCCAATTATTTAGATTGAATACCGAAAAACACGTTTTCTCATTCTTTGTTGTCGAATAAAAAGTTTTCCCACAAAAATTGGTGTACAAATTTTATGCGCCCGCTTTGAATACCCCCTTGAGCAACTTGCAGCAATAAAACCAGACTTTAGAATTATTTCGCAAGCCAGGTGTATTTTCGTCTAATATGATTAGACTAATAGTACTTCGCTGCAACACCAACCCCGAACAAAATCAGTCAAGCTTTACACACATTTCAAATTACTGTTGAACGACAAACAGAACATAAATCACTTTTTAAGTGAAATCTGTATAGCTAATATATTACCCAGACTTAGATTTGTCACAAGTCACAATACTCGTATATACGTATAAATCGTAAGAATTGTGCTGTAAACGTATGTGATGTCGAAGAGAGACAGCATTTGGAATATCAAAGGATACCAAAAATCGCAATGCTCAGTTCCTACAGCTATAACTTATAGTTAGTATGCCTCTGGTGCCATGATGTGTCAGAAAGCAACACAATGGTGTTAGATTACAAAAGCAAGTGTCAGAAGTAGAGGGGGGGGGTGAGCGGCCCCCGCGCCATCCTCCGCCACTGAACAGAAATAGATTTGTTTTCAGGAGGTTCTGGGGTGACGTGGCTGCAGAATACCAGAAACTCATGAGCAGGAATTGACGATCAGATATAGGTGAAAAAAGAAATTGTGATGTAAAGATTAAAGTGGCATTGGAATGTCAACTGATAGTCCATATTAAATTATTTGTATATAAAAGGGGTAGATATTCAGCGGAACAGTAACACAAGCAATGCAGCATAAAAGGCTTGCGATCTGGCTCGCATATGAGGAAGAAGGATGCATTTAACAATACCTGGCACCATCAACAAGTCAATGTACAGAGTATAAAGCTCCAAGAAAGAGTTTTGACTTACACGTTGACCTTTCTTTAATGTATGTATATTTTGTTGATTGTTAAATTATCACTTGGGAGTGTGGATACGATCGAATTACCAAAACCTACAGTTATTTATTACACGAATCATAAATAAGGCGTGATAATAAAGCGTGGATACCTGGGAATGCGAAGTAATGTGAAGTATAACGTCGTGATATGGTAACGCTTTCAAACACAGGCGCATAATACGTAGAAATAGATGGCGTGGTTCCGAGTAACGTCGTGGGTGGCTAGAAACCACTCGACCTGGTCGTTCTGCTGGCAAAAATATGACGTATATGGGGGAGTAATGATTGTTCTGTCTGCAGGAGGCCGAAGGGATAACATTAACATTAGTATACCTGTACGACAGTGCAATAAATACACGCTCTCGACTACGTAACGTGATTCACATAGTATGCTGCTAACACTTGTTTTCTAAATTGAAAATCTCTGAAGGATTTAAGTGCAACCTTTCAGTAATTCAATGTGTAGCTTGAAATCGATCTTTCGTGTTTATTAAAAATATAGACAGTGGCGATTATACAATTTATTTTACAGTGAAACAGCGGCGATATCAGAGCTTTATCTTTGTACTGGATTCTAATCCTATACAGAGCGAGTAGGTCAGAAGGTGAAGAGTGGCAAAATACAACGTGTTATTTCTAGGCAGTCTAGCATGCTTTGTAATGCGGTACGTTAGCAAAACACATGTTGGACATAAAAAATTGGTTTAGCAGAGTGAAACTGTGCATAGCCTGGTATTGAAGCGGAATACTCTGTACGCCACTGTTAACCTGACATGTTTTTCGATACGGCGGCATTCGCGCGCATCGATTCAAAGGTACACTGCGCTCTTCCGTTTTGCTACCCCAGCATAGTATTTGTAGTTATTACCGCATAGTATCACTACGCCAGAAGAGTCAGGATCACATATATATCAACTTTCCAAAGTTGGACTGGAGAAAATAATTACATGACTTATCGTAGGTAATTTTGTAAAACCAACATAAGTTATTAAAGGATATTTTATTCAAGATTAACTGAATACTCTTATGCAATATCTTCTGATATATCTTTGTAGAATTCGTTATGTATGAAATTACATGACAGGTTATGGGAACGCAGTTCATGATTCTTGATACCCCATAATATTGGTCTTGATTATCTGTTTACGTAGTTTTTTATGCAATTAATTATACAGGCTATACCACATCCAAAAGGGAGATCATATCACTGAACTAGCTTTTTTATTATTTGTTGAAAATTACAGTGTAATAGCGGGTCATTCCAGTATAGAGAATTCTGTTGCTGTAGGAATATTTTCCCAAGAATCGCCTTATTTATAATCTGGAAATTGCATTTCAGTCTGTTCCTAACAAACTCCAAAACAAAATAACTACGACATTAAATACGCCATATTAAATACAAACCAATTAAAAGAACTTTCCCTCATATTACTACAATGCGAACTTGCTACCAAATCCGGCATCCTATAGGTATATTGAACAGCCGATGCATGTATTGAATTTTAACAAAAAGTCGTAGTACATGAAAAGTGAAGCTCGATGGCAAAAATAGAAGGAAGCAACTGAAAACAGGTTAAAGCCAACACAAGCTACTGGTTTGTCTGCGTTGTCATTAGCACAATCCACATTGAGCCTATGAGGCCAATGCGAATAAAGCAAGATTATAAATACACATTCTAAATTTTCAAAAAACCTTGTTGAACCTTTTGATACGATAAAAAAGAATATTCCAAATGTAACACGATCATAATGGCGCCAACTTGTTAGAGCTTGTGATTTTGTGAAACTATTCTAACCTAGAAATGGTTTTGACGTCACCAACCATCACGGTTATCTAGAACTTCCAGATTATGTCTTTATATTCACATTCGATATTACACGTATTTCCATGTAAAAATAGTCGCTTACGTACAACTGTATTGTCACTTTATGATGTGAATTTACGATGCATTGTGAAAATAGAGAAGTCATATTATATATTATGGAAATTCTTACATTACATAGAATATGATTCACATGCATTTTTGCACTGTAAAAGTAATATTCCACTAACTTTCAGATCTAATGTGATATATCAGACACCTATCCCACTTATCGCTAACAGTGGGGATGACAATAGATCCCGCTCCGCTATCGAGTGTAAAAGCACACTTTCGAAATAAAGGAATATCTGGCACAGCAGTACTAACAGTATCTACCCCAATTGAATGCTTTTGCAAATCAAATTTCTCGACTTATATCAGACTTGATCTGGTAAAGTCGACATGTCATAAACTTTTCATGGGTGTAATCAAGAAAGATTATAGTTTCGAAAGGCAAACCGACCGAACTCGAAAGGTATTTATGACAGTCAACCACTGAATCTTTTCGAAATACTTTTGTTTATGGAAGAGTGCAGTTGTGAAAAAGCGAACGGCCGATTGTTATTGGACGGTCGTAAACCAAGACGTTACGGCGACTTTATAGTCACAAAATAGATTTTACCTATCGTAAAATTTATTTTATGTTTCTATTTAGTTGACATATTATAAATATTTTACGGCTTCTTGCCGTGATATGAATTGACACTAGTGTGATGTATGATGGAGAATGGAACGGTACAATATCTTGATGTCTCAATTAGAAATATCCTACCAGCACTATTTTTGAAAATAGTTAAAATACAGTATGCAATAAACTTAGAAGTTTTGAGGACTCTTGAATAAGGACCAGGATTTGTGCAGTAGGATTATATATAATAATATGAATTTATATCTACTTGATCCAAAAAGTCTTCGACCAAAGTATCTGGGCGAAAAGCTCTGTTAAATATTCAACTAACTGCTAAGGGTATGATCTAACATAAATGTGTCTCATTAATTCCTACAATCGTTGGGAATAAGCTATGTTGTTTTTTCATAGCTACAAAACTCTTAGTAAAGCTGTCTCTTGGTTCTGCACGAAGCTCAAATAAGACTGGAGTGCTACCCCTCAGGTTGGGATCTGCACTGTCCATCCGTGACGGAGATGAACCTTCAGATATTATCAAACCGTGTTTACTACAGGTACCGATGGAACTTATTCTTTATGATGCTGTCAACCAACTTGTCAAGCTCTTTACTGTTCCACAAACCTTTGAAAGTTGTGTCTTACAAGCTGTCCACTAATAGCAGGTCAATTTCTTTCCCAAAATGTAATACCACAAGTTCCTAAAAAGATGTCCTCTCCCATAGTGTGATACAGGCTCCTCAAACATGCAAGTTTTTCTCAAGTGAGTTTCATATAAAATGAAATTTTGACAGCTGAGAAACTAGTCAGTGGTGAACGATTAACTCCTCTAGATCGCTGTATATTAATCGCCCAACAATAATATTTTCGGAAAGTCTGATCTTTAAGTTGTAAAAAAATGCAATTTTGTTTTTGCCACCGATAAAATAGTTTTTGAGAATACACGCTTGCTTCATTAGTTTTATTAATTTTGACACTAGATCCAGAATACGGGTTATGCCATTTTGCAAATATCATAATTCTGATAACAGGTTCGTAAGTAATGACCAACAAACCCCCAGGATATACATTTTCGGATCACTCGATTAAGTTCCAGATTTGAGTCAGACTTTTTTGGGGGTAGATGCACTGTAAATAGATATGAACGATATAGAAACAAGACTGTTTTTCTCAAAAAAGGCTAGTTTTATGGGATTCAAAAAGAATACATTTTTTGCAGCTATCGTATTAGACTTCCCGAAAATATTATCTTTGGACCATTATTATAAGAGTGTAAAACATTCCGCAAAAATTGTGTTAGGGCTAGACCAGCTCTTGCAATCCAAACGGGATAATTGTTCTCCCTGGACATCATTGAGTAATGTTCCAATTGAATTATTGATGTTCAAATCTCTTTGAATATCGTTCAACATTTAATTAAGAAAAAACGATCTCCAGTAACATCCTCTAGTGGCTTGTATCTCCACAGAAGCGCCCTTAGAACATTTTTGACAGAAACTTGTGGTATCATTTTTTTGTGTTCTATACAGGGTGTTTCTCAATGACTGGACATCATTTCAAGTGATCCATATTTGAGTGGAAAACAAACATGTTTGTATCCTAAAAAAGATAAAGGGTGCCAAAGATTAGAAAAAAATATCTCAAAGATTGTCGAGCCGACTCTGTTGAATTTTTGTCCTATTGACTATTGCAATTAGGGTTTAAGTAACCGCCCAATAAAAGATAATTGTGAATGCCAGTGGCATCTCGGAGGGCAATATTACGGATAATATTGACAAAAAAATATACTCTACTGTCTATTTTGAAAAATCTAACTTTTTCAGATTGAGCAACTGATTATACCTACCACCTTCTTGTCTGATGGCTGTTTTCGAAAAGAAAACTAAAAGCAATTTCATTACGGAAAACCATTAAAATAAGATCAAATTAACTTTGATCTTGCTAGGAAATGTTGTTCTAGTGTTAGCAACATATGTTTTACTCCGTGAAAGTTTGGTATTATATTGTCTCCTGTGTCAAAAACCATTTTTTTAATATTGAACACCAGACTTGTTAGTATGCACATTTATATTAAATTTTCTTGAATCTGGTTCAGGAATGTGCCCTTTCGGCCTATCATTAAGTAACCCACTATATACGTGGTGTGCCAATTAAACTCCGGGAATGCAGTAATAACTTGAGGTCCGGCAACACTGCGTCACCTGTCAACTCCTGCCTTTCAAAAGAGCTCCCTTTTTGAGTTACAGTCCAAAACTGAAGTCGATTGACGTTTGGTGTTGTGGGTGTTTTTTGAAGGAAAGTTTTTGAGTGGCGTCGTGAAATTGAGTGACTGACATCACAAGCAACGTGTTGTGATCCAATTTTTAGTGAAATCTGTCGAAAAATCCTCGGAAATCTTCCGAAAATTGCAGGTGGTGTATAAAGACACGCGTTTAAATGGACAAACGATTCAAAGAGGGGCGTGAATCAGTAACCTCTCGTACCGATGCAAATGTCGACCGTTTGTGCGCTCAGACAACATATTACCGGCGGCTAAGCATTCGTACATTGTCTGTCGACTTAAATATGAACAAAGAAACCGTCCGCCAAGTGTAACACGAGAATTTGAACATGCGAAAGGTTTGCGCAAAGATGGTTCGAAAATTGGATCTTGCACCACGTCGACGCACTGGCCCACTCCTGTTTGATTGTGCAAGACTTTTTATCAAGAAAGGGCATTCCAGCGACGCACGACCCACCCTATAGCCCCGATATTGCCCCCTGCGACTTCTTCTTATTCCCTAATATGAAGTCACATCACAAAGGAACTCATTATGGTGGCATAGAGGAGGTGAAATCAATTGTAACGAAGGTACTGAACAGGCTAACTTTAGAGCATTACCCTGTTTTGAATCGTGGGAGCAGCGATGGAAGCGACGGCGACGTGTAGTGTTAAATGGAGACTATTGTGTAAGTTGATGATAGAAATTTACGTGAAATTTGATTTGATTGTTTTTTATTGGCAAATTCCCGGAATTCAATTGGCACACCACATATGAACGAGATATGTTATTCTGGAACACCCGTATAGTAGGAGCTTAACAAAAGTTTGTCAGTCTTCACCGGTCGTGCGTTGTGTGACTGTGTGACGTAGCCTGTACTGTAGTATTGATCTTTTGGTCACCACGTGTTATTAATTATATTATATATTTGATGATTATAGTGCAGGATACGCTTTGATCACTCACAGAACTTCGTCTTTATTACTATTAAGCTATTTTCATGCTTTTTTGGTGAAATCTGTGCTTCGCTAGCTATAGAGAGAAGTGTTATTCACTTGAATGTATTTTTTTTTATACTTTACTTTCAGCGATCGGTTACAGAAAAGTCCAGCAAGTGTATCATAAAATGGAAGGGTTGTAGAACCGCACCCACCGCTAGGTCGTCACCATCCGGTTGTTTTCCATCTTGTTACACCGAAACGCCCTAACAATGTTATGGATATGACAGGTTTACAGCTGGTCGCACCCAAACAGCTACCGATATCAGCAGATTTAACGACAACCAATACAAAAAGAAGAGTTAGAAGAGGGTGCCTTCGGGGATGGCTACAATGAGAGAAAGTCGCACTACGAATAAGAATTAATTGAACACAAACCTAGTTATCGTTTGTCGCCTGACAGCAAATTTAATCGATAAATATCAAAGTTATAGGTTGCTGTTATCCATTGTTGAACGTACTACGCTCGGTAAATCATCTTGCCGGATGTGTAATTACTTGTGAAATTAATTTTAAAACAAATTATATGATGTGACATATAAGTGTCTTCGGATAAATTCATTTTTACGTACAGGGTGACTGATGGCAATAGCAATGCAGATATAATAACAATGCATCTATCAGACTCTTATCTACATATCTATCTGCATAGGTAGGAGTACCTCTATTGGCTCATTAGTTCTTTTACAAAAGTATTTATAGCCCTGAGTTACTGCTTTATATAAAATAAAATGGATGACCTGACATAGCTTGAGTTACTAATATTTTAAAATGTAACGCAATCTGAACCATTGTTTAGTCCAGAACTCGCATAATTTAGAGAACAAAAAATATGCTTCAACGCATAATATTTACAGGCTCGTTGTATAAAGATATACTGACTTGGAAGAACCACGTAATGGAAACAGTACTTTAAGTGAACGGTTTATTTTTCTCGTCAGTCATACGATCCTAAATTTTGCAATTACTCCCAAATCTCTTTGCATCTGTTAAATCTTTTATATGGCCCTGTTCACAACTCCTCATCTCTTTTCGCATATTTTTCTATCAAACACTATTATGTAGAAAAATAAAACAAAGAATAATTCAAAATTCCTATATGAGTTTTGATGGGTGTTGAGATTATTATTTTGGAATCGAGAAAAAATCATATTTCCTTACTGAATAAAGGTCTCGAACAGCAAAAACAAAAATTTTGGCGTCTTAAACTACAGCAGTGACATAAAAACACGAATATTTTTGGCAACTACCAAAAAAGAAAGACCAGTCTTGTACATCAGCGCGTTTTTTAAGCATATACTCCAATGTTGAAAAGTAGTATTTGCATCTATCCGGATTGTGACACTTGATAACCTATTGCAAAACTGTTCCTTTTCAGAACAGACTAATGTCATATCACCATAACAGTGGGGAATATATACACTGTGCCTTGGCAAAGCAGCATTTTAGCTCCGATATCTATAGTAGCTTTTTGTATAACTTTTGGATGTATTTTGTACTGTAGGAATAATGACATTTGTCTCCTATTTAAAGGTGTTACTCAAATATATCACATAACATTTCTATTAAAGAAAATCGCATGTGAAGGTTGTCAACGCACAAATTAGACCCAAAATAATGTGTTTATGCCATAAGTTTAGGAGGCACTTGGTATAGCAAACAGACCTAATGATTCTAGGTCAATATAAAATATAATGAAAACACTGGCATAAACGCGGAAAAGAAAGATGGGAAGATGTTGGCATCGTAATACAAATGAAAGTCTATTGGACACTGTAGTAGAATATGCTTATTAGTATTAAAGACAGCCGTTTAATATGTTTCAACATATACATATTTGCATAGCGAAACAGCTTATATTTATATATAAAATTAAATTTACGTATACTATCCGCAAACTATCCAGCCAGAGACTGGCATTGCAATTGGATTACCATAATTGTTAGCAAATTAATTCAAAGCATATTGCATCATTGCGTATTTAAATGATATAACCCATTAAATTATATCACATTCGTAAGATGTAGCTTCCATGATCTGACGTACTAATTAAACTGGTTGCGTTTTTCAACCTATTTTGAATGTGAATTTACCTTTTCCCTCATCCGTGTCAGTTGCTCGATTTCGGAGAGTCTGAGACAATACTTACAAGCTTTAAGATGTATCGGCAGTAAATAATAAAAGAAAGATTACGATTTTCGTTTGTATCTTACAATTCTTAATGAAAATAGAATAGTCGTAGAAGACGTGGTTAAAATATTAGTGGGCTGTCATCAGGTGCCATTCCTATGAGCTTCAGTATGGCAGCTCAAACTTTTGAGGTGTTTTTAAAATACTTATTGTTTCCCATTGAGATCTGAATAATGGCTTGCAAGTTTTTTTTAACACGCTTATATCAGCTTGGCCTGTATGTATGTAACGGGATCTTTGAGCGTAATTTTCACCAATTTCCAGAAGCTTAATTAATGTGAAACTTTGCACACGTATCAAGAACCGATGACAATGCAATAATTTGATAACAGTTTTCCATTCTCCTTATTAACCCATTTATGCCTAATGTACTATGAATAGTACAGCCTAAAATTGTTTGTTCCTGTAGATATCTGTACGATTTGGTTAAATTGAATAGCTCGCGACGACAGTTTGCGGGTGGATCTCGTACGGTACGGAGTAATTTTGCGTATTGTGCAATATTTTGTATGTGAAATCAGTTTTTGTATATTGGAAAATAGAAGATGAATGAATATGGCGTGCACTTTGCAAAGTAAGTAGGTTTTTTATGACATAAATTAAAAAAATCTAGTTTATTTTTATGAAAATATTATTTCCTTAGTTGCGGCTTCTAGATTTTATGATTTTATGATGTTTTGTTTGTGAGGTGTACTATATTTAGTACACCAGAAAAAAGGGGTCTACGAATATGTTCATAGTCAAAATAAAAATAAAATGGTTTTAGGTAAATTATTTTTGAATAAGTAATTATTTTGAGAAGGAACATTTGTTTCAGGGGTTTTTCTTTGCATGAGGCGCTAGCAATGATAGAAGATTACGACATTGAAGCTGAGTCTATCACTTTGTTACCTCCCACTAATGCATGCGATAACATAACCGACGAGGATTCTGGAAACGAAGAAAGACTGGATATCAACAACTTGCCAGGAAGCTTAATGCAAGCTGAGGTCGAAGTAAATAAGAATAAAAACGAGGATATGTCGAGTTTTGAAGATGAAATACCACTCAGTGAAATCAGGGGTAATAATCGGAAGGAAGTGAAAAAGAAGAAAACATAATTACGTAGAAGATTTGCCAAGAAATGAGTATGCATTTCCAATAAACAACGAAAATCAAAATGAACAAGAGCAGTCCCCAAACGAGATATTTTTCAGTTTTTTTGATGACGAAATTTTGAACATAATAGTTGAGGAGACAAATCGGTATTCTCAATAGAAAAAAAGGAATATTATGGTTACCAAATCTGAAATCAAATGTTTTCTAGGCATATTATTGTTGAGTGGCTACAGTAGTGTACCTCGCAGAAGGATGTATTGGGAAAAATCCAGTGATTCACACAACTCACTTGTTTCTGAAGCTACTTCTCGCGATAAATTTGAATTTATAATGTCTAACATTCACTTCCTAAACAATGAAGCTCTGGATGCAAATCATAAATTTGCTAAACTAAGGCGTCTTTTCAATCACCTAAATAAAATTTTTCTTTGGAATACGCAGTACCAGAAGAGCATCATAGTATTGATGAGGCAATGGTTCCATACAACGGGAGACATGGTTGTAAACAGTATATCCACGGGAAACCAATACGTTATGCGTTCAAGTGTTGGGTTGGCGCTACTACTCTTGGTTACATCTTATGGTTTGTACCTTATCAGGGTGCTTCAACGTATGTGAACGCGGCTTACAAATCTTTAGGTGTTGGCACATAAGTTGTATTTAGCTATGCTGATAGGCTAAAAAGCAAATCTTAGGTTTCATTTTGTATTTGATAATGTTTTTCTTCGCCAGCTTTGTTTAAAAGCTTGACTGAAAAAGGCATATGTGGTACAGGAATAATTCGTGAAAATCGTATACCCATGTCTTCTTTGAAAAATTAAAAACTTATGAAAAAGGAACAACGTGGAGTGTTTGATTATACCAAAGTAAAAGATAAAAACTTAATTTTTGTAAAATGGAATGGAAACAATATTGTAACTTTTGGGTCTACAGCGATTGGAATTGAACCAGTACATTCAGTAAAGCGGTATTCTCAAAAAGAAAAAAAGTTTGTGTAGTATATGTAGATCAGCCCCAAGTTGTCAAGCTGTATAATAAATATATGGGCGGGGTGGATAGGTCAGACCAGAATATAGCTCAATTCAGAGTACAAATCCGAGGCAAAAAATGGTATTTCTCGTTGATCTCTCAATGTGTAGATATGGCCCTGACAAACGCCTATCATATTTATAAAAAGAGAGGAAATAACGTGAATCAATTACAATTTAGAAGAAGTGTAGCTACAACTATCTTGACACAAAATAAGAAGACTTATACGTACCAGCAAGGTAAATCAAGAAATTTTGGTGATATAAGGTATGATCGCTTAGATCATTTAGTCATTCCACAAGGCAAACAAATAAGGTGTGCACACTGTCATGAGCGCACGACTACTAGATGTAGAAAATGTGATGTCGGCCTTCAGGTGAAATGTTTTGTTCAATATCATACTCTTTAAAATTTGCAATATTGATGTGTTTCAAAATATTTGTACTATTTTCAATATTTTTTTATTATTATTCTTATAGCTACCTTTATTCCTAATGTACTATGTATAGTACGAGTACATCCTAAAAAACTAACTGTTTATGTATTTTTTTAGAATAAATTGAAAATACCTCCAAAGTGTCGTCTTTTAATAAGGTTTTTTAAAAAATAATAAAAAAAAATTTTTGCAACTCTTTAGGCATAAATGGGTTAAGACCGCTTTTTTTTTTTTTTTGGTGAGGGGGGAATGCATTTACGCACCATACCATAGCCCGAGCTACGGCGTGTGTGGGACTCCAGGGTCTTGAGGAGATCACCTAATACCCACTAAACAATAAACCTCCGCGTGGCCCGACTCATCAGCGTCTCGGTAGGCCATGTGTTGTGCGTGACCTGCGGTCTGCTACAACGTCTCCTCAT